CGATGCGGGCTGGGGTTGTGGTTCAGGGGTACTATGCTTGCCTTGCACGCATGGGGCACACATGAGGATATGGGTTCAATCTTCAGCACCACATAAATAAAAAGAATAAAATAAAGGTATTGTATCCATATAAAACTAAAAAACAAAAGGATACAAGCAACAATAAATGTTGGTTGAGAATGAGGGGAAAAGGTACACTTACACATTGCTGGTGGGACTGCAAATTGGCAACCATTATGGAAAGCACCACCATTTGACACCATTATCCCACTCCCACACTACAGTGACTCAGCCACATCCATGTTTATACCAGATCAACTCACAACAGCTAAACTATGGAACCAACCTAGTTGTCCTTTACAGATGAATGGATAAAGAAAATTTGGTATATAATACACATTGGAAAATTACTCAGCCTTAAAGAAGAATGAAATGATGGCATTTGCTGGTAAATGGATGGAACTAGAGAATATCATGCTAAGTGAAATAAACCAATCCCAAAAAACTAAAGGCCAAATGTTTTTCCTGATATGTAATGCTAATTCACAATAAAAGGAAGGAGCTAGGCAAGAATAGCGTTACTTTAGATTAGGTAGAAGGGAGGGGAGGGGATATGGGGTTAGGAAGAACAGTAGGAATGAACTGGACATTATTTGCCTATGTGCATTTATGACTACACGACTGGTGTGATTCTACATCATATACAACCATTTATATATGATGTGTCAAACTGCATGCTACTGTCATGTATAACTAATTAGAACAAATTTTTTAAAAAAAGAAAAAAAAAGATATACCAATATCTTTTAATACAACAAAATATTAGCAAACTGAATCTAGCTATATATAAGAGGAACAATACATCACAAACAAGAGGCACTAATCCCAGGAATGCAAGGCCAGATCAACACTCAAGTAACAATTTAATTCACCACACTAATGGGCTAAAAGAAGATAGACCACATGATTACATTAAGTTATATAGAAAAATATTTTATACATTCCAACATTATTCATGATAAAACTCTCAGCAAACTAGCAAAAGGAAAAATTCCTTCATCAGACTTAAGGGTATCTTCAAATATCTTACAGTATCACCATATTTAATGGTGAAAGACCTAAATATTTTTCCCCCTGCTGGAGAATAAGATAAGGTTGTCATCTCTTACCTCTCTTACTTGACAGTGGGACCCCATTCAACAGGGAGCCCCATCTAGTGCAACAAGAAAATAAATAAATAAACAAAAGAAATGCACACTGTAAAGGAAAATATAAAGCTGTTCTCAATTGCAGATAATGTGATTTTCTACATAGAAAACTCTAAGAATCTACACAAGCTCCTAAAACAAGTGAGTTTATGAAGGTTGCAAGAAATAAGACCAATATAAAGAAATTAATAATATTTCTAAATATTGTTACACAACTGGAACTCTCAAGTGTATGTGTACAAAAATCATTCACAATAACACATATACAAGATTTAAATTCAACAAAATCTGTAAAAGATTTATATGTTGAATACTACAAAATGCTGATTTTTAAGAAAACAATAACCTAAATAAATGGAAAAACATGTTCATGTATTTAAAAAGATGAGACAAATACAATCAATTCTCCACAATATCATCAAAGAATTAATAAAATTTCAATAAAGATGTTAGCAATTTTTTTTTGTAGATAAACACAATCTGATTCTAACATTTTAATGGAAAGTGAAAGGATTTTAAACACGAACAATTCTGAAAAAGAATAAAAAGTGTAAGACTCAAAATACCTGGTTTTAAGACTTGGCTTAAAGCAACTGAATCAAGATATTAGGGTTTCTGCAAATGAATAAACAAATACATTAATGGAATAAAGAGGAGAGTCCAGAAACTGACACACACAATGTGGTCAAGTGATTTTTTTTTTTTTTTGAAGATGTAAAGGCAATTTAAAGGAAATGGCACAGTGTTTTCAACTAATGGTATAAGAACAAACAGACATCTATATTAACCATGCTTTTTATTTTCTATATTATATATTTTGATGTCTTTAAAAAAAAAAAAAAGAATGCTGGCCAGGGAGAGACTGCTCCTTCTTGAGCCAGACAATTCTTAAAATAGCCAAGGACTCAGCGGGGATCACACACTTCACATGCAAACCAAGGAGTCCCAGGTTTGTAGCCCCAATCGACTCCCGATCTAACTCTTACCTCAAGCCAACTATTTTCTCTGACCCTGTATCATGCCAAGGTCAGGTACCAAGCAACTAGAGACCATCCCTGTGTCCAAAGCCCACCAGAATTATTCAAACTAGCCAATTCTAAATTGTTACTTTGCCCACTTTGCCTCTCCTGAGGAAACCCCAACAAAGACTCTAACTTAGCATTCCTTTCACTCCTGCATCTGCCTGACAAACCGGCTGTGATAAGTCCCCTTCTCTTCAGAAAATATAAGCAATAAATTCTTCTATGAATGGCATTGACCACTCTGTGTTGGTACTCAATCACTTCCATAAGTTGAAATTCCACAAGTACAATTTTAATATAACATCTAAATGCTAAAAGTCAAACCTCAATCTATTCCTCTTATAAAAATCAAAAGGAAATCAGTAGAGAAAAGGGACCAGAGGAAGGGAAGAAAGAAGGGAAAAGGCAATTGGTAGGGAATGATATTGCCAAACTATTTTGTTATATTGTATGCATGTATGAATATGCAACCACAAATCCCACCATATGTACAGTTATAAAGCTCCAATTTAAAAAATGGAAAAAAAGTAAATCAAAATGGATTATCTATCTATCTATCTATCTATCTATCTATCTATCTATCTATCGGTGCTAGACTGAACCTAGGGCCTTAGGCATACAAGGCAAGCATTCTACCAACTGAGCCATATCCCCGGCCCTGGATCATATATCTAAATGTACAATAACACAATTTTGTCAGGCACCATGGTGCATGCCTAAAATCCCAGCAATTTAGGAGGCTCAGACAGAAGGAGCCTTGCAAGTTCCAGGCTAGCCTCCTATCTTAGTGAGATCCTGTTTCACAATAAAAGGACTGGGGATGTAGCTCAGTGGGAAAGAGCCCCTGGGTTTAATCCACAGGTTAAAAAATAATTAATAATAAAATCCATAAAACTTTTAGGAGTAAACTTTGTGACCTTGGGTTAGATGAAGTTTCCTTATCCTTAGATATAACATCAAAAACATGACCCATAAAAGAAGAAAATAATAAGCTAGACTCCATCAAAATTAAAACTTTTTCCTCCCTGAAAGACATTGCTAAAAGTATAAAAAGAAGCTGTCAATGGGAGAAACTACATGCAAGCTCAACAATAAAAAAACAAACATCTCAATAAAAAATTAAAGATATGCAAAATACAGATTACAAATGAGCCCTTTAAAAAATTAATATCATTAGTCATTCTGGAAACACAAATTGAAGCCAAAATTAGATAACACTACTCTTCTATTAAAACAGCTAAAATTTAAAAACAAGAAATGACAAATATCAAGGACACAGAATAACTGGAATTCTCATGCACCACTGATTAGAGCCACTCTGGAAAACAGTTTGGCAGCTCTTATTAAGTAAAACATTCATTTAGCATACCAACCAGTAAACCCACTTCTCTGTTATTTAAAATAATGCAAACATATTTAACAAAAGCCTGTAAATAAATATTCTTGTAGCTCTATTCATAATTACCCCAAATGAGAAACAACACAAATGTCCAACTGATAAATGAATAAACACTGTGGTACAGTCATATAATGGACTACTATTCAACAATACAAAGAAACAACACAAATGTCCAACTGGTAAATGAATAAACACTGTGGTATAGTCATATGATGGACTACTATTCAACAATACAAACTACTGATATATTAATAACATTGGTGAATTTCAAAGGCATTAGGCTGTGTAAAAGAAGCTTATTTCCAAAGGTTACCTACTACATGATTACATTTATATGACATTCTGGAAATTTATTTATTTATTTATTTATTTATTTATTTATTTGGCACTGGGGATTGAACTGACCAGGGTCTTGTACATGCTAGGCAGATATTCTACCGCCAAGCTACATACTTTCTGAGCCCATTTATTTTGACATAGGTTCTCACTAAGTTGCCCAGGCTGGCCTTGAGTTTGGACATCCTCCTGCCTCAGCCTTCTGAGTAGCCAGTATGGCAGGTGTGTACCACTGCACCTGCCACAACAGTATATACATATGTATACGTGTGTGTATTTTTTTTTTAAACTGGGGATTGAACCCAGGGGCACTTTACCACTGAGCTACATCACCAGCCTTTTTGAGACAGGGCCTCACTAAGTTGTTTAAGACCTTCCTAAGTTTCCCAGGCTGGCCTTGAACTTGCTATCCTTCTGCCTCAGCCTCCTGAGTCACTGGGATTATAGGCATGCACTATAGTGCCCAGCAAAAGAATATCTTTAAAGTGATGAAATTGTTCTGAATCTTGACTCTGGTGACAGGTACAAAAATTTATTTGTGTGTTAAAACTTATAAACTGTATGCCAAGAAGGTTTTGAATATGTAAATATTTTACAAAAAAACATTTTAAAGAGATAATGAAAACAAATGCAGGCTGAATGCTTTGTCTTCAAATATATCACCGAGTACAATTTTAATATTTAGTTTTACTCAAATTTTGAAGAATAGATCTCTCTTCTGTCACTCAGCTCACAGAAGTTGCAAAGTTAAATCACATTTGTCAACCAAGGCAAAAAGACAATGGTTTAGAGGCAATTTCAAACTCTCACAGTTCAGTTTTAACCAAGTAAATCATGAATCTAGGGGACATGGAAGGGAGACAGATCAAAAAGAAATCAAACTATGTCACTAATGAAAATGAAAAGCCAATCTTTAAACATGTTCTAAAGCTCTCAGAATTTAAATCTCATAAGAATCAATTTATCAGGCTTCTGCAGATAAGATGACTTTTCCCCTCCCGCATTGCCTTTAAAAATACTGAAGAAATCACTTACAGCTTTAAGGGTAAGATCACACTGGAAAACAAGTGTCCTGAGTTGTGTTAAAATCTCTCTTTTGGTGTTTTCTAGATCGTTTCGTCTTTCTTCAACATTTGTTACACAAACTTTGTAGAGTTCATTTGCTTCTTCTACCTTCAGGAATACCACAGGAGAAAAATAAAAAAGAACATAACACTAATTACCAGAATTTACATTTTAAAATAAATACTTATTGTAGAAATAGTCTATCTATGTTTTAAATGGAAAACTTCTAAATGTAACAAATAATAATCATTCTGGTGTGTGACTCAAGTATACTTGGCTTTAATGAATATTCAAGCACAATTTACAATTAGTATATTGTCTATAAAGTTAGTATTCACTTCTATTTAAATTAGCATTTTCTATTTTATTTACTGTTTCTCTTACAAAATTTGTTTATCAAACTATATTTTTAATAAATAACACAAAATTTTAGTTTATACTTGCTAGTAGGTGCTGGAATTAGCACTTGCCTAAAAGGTGAACTTTCTGAAAAAAATCAAGTAAAAAATATTAAACTACTGCTTTAAAATACTTCTTTCACAAACGAGACCCCAAATTCTTAAGTCTCTTAGCATAGTCATTCTCAAGTATGGATCTCCACCAGCATTGCTGGGGAACTTCGTTAGCAGAATATTGTTTGGGTCTCACCCTTGACCTACTTACTCTATACTCAACTCTGAAGTGGACCCAGCAGGCTGCTTGAATAAGCCTCCTAGATAATCCCAAAATATATTACAAGTTTAAGAACAAACCCTTTGCAGATTATTGCTAATTGAATTTTCAAACAACAAAAAAATATTACTTTTTGAAGTGCTTCCTCTTCCAACCTTCGCTTTTTTTCTAGTTGCTTATTGAGATTTTTTGCTAATCCACCACTTGAGCACTGATGCTCCTCTTCTGCACGAAACATGGAAGATTTTGCTTTTTCATATTCATCTTGACGTTGTATGCATAACAATTTTGCCTTTTTGAGAGCAGTTTCTGTTTCAAGCTATACAGAAAACAGTAATATTAAACCAAGAATTTGAAAGAAACCCTACTATACAAGTTTCTTTAGCATATTCAGGAAGACAGTTAAGCAGTATTTTAGAAAACTAGAGTAAGGTAGATGTTATATAATATAGATGATTTTTAGATGTTCACAAACAGGTACATGAAATTCCAGTATAATACTAACCATTTTATTTTGTTCCTGTTTCCAAAGTTCCTTTATTTCTTTCCTTTGTTTTTCCATTTCATTTTTCCTCCCCATTAGAGGCTGTCAAGGATATTTTTTAAAAAGAAAAAGAAAAAAGTTGTTTTCTAAAGATATGCTGCTATTAAAAAAAAAACGTGCATATATAAATTATTTTACCTGTACAAATTTGTTGGCTTGGAGAGCTGCAATTGTTTGTTGTAAAAGGTGACTGTTCTTTACGTCATTGAGGAGAGCACTGGTAAATAGAGACTGTAGTGGCATAAACTCCTAGAATTTAAAATTAAGAAGTAAATTATACAATAGAAATAGCACTAGAATTCCAGATGCACATAGTGTTCTTCAAAAAGAGAAATTTAAGTTTAGATTTTTTTTTCTCCCAGAAAAATGACTATATAGGAACACAATTATGAGAAAAATACTAAAGAAAGTTAATTATAAATTAGAAAATTAGCAGCCATCACACTAATCAATATTGGTATAAAATTGTGAATTTCCTAGTTTTTTTCATAATTAACAGCCATATAAATTTAAAAGGATTTTATTTGTCAATAAAAAGATTGGAAATTAAGTTTTTTTCCTCTTGTAACTGAAATTTTATGATTTTACAAGGCACTATCTGGAAGCTCATCTGACTAATCTCCTGTGATAGAACCCCTAAAATTCACACAACACTTACCTGTAGTCCAATGTTAGCTCTAGTTGCTTCTGCCAACTTTACAATATTTCTGGTGGACTCCAATTCTGAAAAGATTAAAAAAGGTATCAGAAAGCAAAATTAACTAATTTTTTTCCTCCATTCTCTATTTATATTTCTACAATTGGAAAGTGATTACAAGCTAGGAATAATGGTGTGTGTCTGTAATCCCAGCAGCTCAGGAGGCTGAGGCAGGAGGATTGCCAAGTTCAAAATCAGCTTCAGCAATTTAGCAAGGTCTTAAGCAACTTATCGAGATTCTGTTTCAAAGTAAAAAATAAAAAGAGGTTGGGAATGTGCTTCAGTGGTTGAGTACCTCTGGGTTTAATCCCTGGTGCCCCCCAACAAATAAGAAAAGAAAAAAGTGATTACACATACTAGTGTGCATCCTGATAAAATGCAGTAATTCTTAATTTTAAGTGCTCATCAGAATCAATTGGGAAACTTTTTCAAAATACATTTGACTGTACTTTACCTCTCTGAGAAATGGAACCTAGACCTTTATACTGTCCTTTTTTCAGATTATCCGAGTGATTCTAATTAGCATTCCCTATTAAAAATAAATAACACAGTGGAAAGAGCACAGGCTTTGCTAGATTCTATTTTCTTCCAGTTATGCTCTATGACCTTAAGTAAATCTGATATATGACTTTAGGAAAATCACTTATTTGTTTTATCTGTAAATGGGACTAAGAATTCTTGTCTTGCCTACTTCCCAGGGTTTTGTAGGACTAAATGAGATAATGCATATTAAAATTTTTTTCAACTATAAAATTCTAGGTAATATTAGCTGTTAAGATGTTTCTTCGAGCTGGGGCTGTACCTCGGTGGTAGTAGCATATACTGTGCTTGCCCAGCCTGCATGATATGCTGGGTTAATCCCCAGCATGGGCTGGGGGTGGGGATGTTTCTTCTAAGCTTTCACTGCCTTCTGCTGAAACATCTATTGTTGCGTTTATCTCCTTTAACCATGTTATCTGATTGTATTTCTTTTCACCCATTACAATATGACTTCTAGGTCTAATGGTTGACCCACTGTAAATGTTCAACAAGTATATCTAGTGTAAGAAAAGTCTATTTCAAGAAGAGAAAATGAATAATGAAACAACTAATTTGTTATCATAAATACTTAGTCTATAGAAAATGAATCATAAACAATTTAGTTCTTACACTCCATAGTAATCAGATGCTCCAAAAGACAACTCACCCAGATTAAGCTTTTTTTCAACCCATGTCACTATGTTCTTTGTATATTTTGACCATGTTTTAGCATATGACAAGGCCAATTCAATAGAATCAGTGTTTTTTAACAGCACATTGTCTAATTCTATAGGAGAAAAATTTCCTGAAAAGAAAAATATCAGAGTAAGTATTTGTTAAATATAGTCTATAATAATTCTAAACAAAGCAGCACTCAGACAAATTTATAATTACAGGGCACGATTTAAACATACAATGATTTCAAATTATAATATATTTTATCTTAATATATATTTCTATTATTCAAGTTACAAGCCTTATATTCTTGATAAGTCTACAACATCAAATTATTTATCTACTCAACTGGGGTTTTCCTCTTAAGTTTTATACATAACATTTTATATGTCATTATGCACGAAAAAATGAGTATATTAGGTACAATAGGTTACTAATCAAGAAGAGATAAAGTAATCCAAACCACTTATTGAAAGAAACTGCAAAAAGTTTAACAAAAGTTATAAGTACATGGAGTATTACCTTTTTCACTGGATGACTCGACTGAGTCCACAGAAATATTTTCAAAAGACTTTACAACATGGAAGAAAACAAATTTAAGATTAGTGCAGAAGACAACAAATCTCTGCTTCAGAAAACTTTCACCCCAATTTGTTACTTTGACATAATTCCTGCCAAAGAATTTCAAGTATTTAAAACCTTTCAAAGGATCTGAGAAGTCTGTTTAAATACCAGAACACTTTCTAAGAATTACATGGCTTTTTACCACAAAAGGTCTTAAGCTCCAAGCAAGAATGAACAATCTCATTGTTTACTAACAGCATAAGTTAACATGCATGAATCTATGCAAAACTTTAAATTCTGCATATTCCTAAAATATCAGGAAGTCAAAGAAGTGATCTAAATAGATTGCTATCTAAATAGAAGATATAGATCTGCCTTGTCCAGCTCATCTTTTACCATTTTATTATATGATAAGCACATCCTTGAAAGTTTGTTGGACAGCTTAGCACAGAACTTTCTGTAAAGATGCAAATATGTAATATCCTATATGGTAGCTATTAACTACATTGTAGCTACTTACTTGAACATTTTTAAATTATTTATTTATTTATTTGTTCATTCTAATTTGTTATATGTGACAGCAGAATGCATCTCAGTTCATATCACACATATAGAGCACAACTTTTCATATCTCTGGTTGTACACAAAGTAGAGTCACACCATTAGTTTCTTCATACATTACTTGAGCATTTTAAAAGTATTAATTATGACTAAGAAGCAAATTTTTACTTTTATTCAATTATTAATTAATTTTAAAGAACTAGATGTGACTACTGGCTACCTTATTAGCAGGCTAGAAAACTACATCTATCAAAATTGTTAAATCTTACACATATTTGATCTACTTGGTTGGGCAATACAAGGTATATAGGGATTCAATGCAAAAGGGATCAAAAAGACCTGGGTCTCAAGTCCAGCTCCATTATTCACTTTATGACATGGGATTACACATTTAAATTCGCCTAACTTTAGTTTGCCCTTCTGTAAAATGGAATACTATATTCATAAGGCTATTTTAAGAATCAAGATGATATAATGTTATTAGCACAGTACAGGGTATATAGTAAGCACTATTAAAATGAATTGCAGCTATTATTTTTAAATTATATTTTTCAAAAACCTTCATCAAACAAAGTAATTTTATTATTAGGATTATATTATCTTGAGCTTTTTAATCTTAATCTCTAGGGAAAATTAAAACTTCAGAAAAAGAAAAACAAGGCACAAAATTTTTTAAGAAGGGTAAAGTTATTTTTCTATTAAAAGTCAGAATAGTATGTGCCCACATTAGAGAAGCAGGAATAGGAAATATGATTCATATCTAAAATTTAAATTGTTCAGAGCCCTGCTACACATGTTAAAAGTTTTATTATCTTCTGAAGAATCAGTAACAATTTTAAAAGGTAAAATTGAGGAAGAAACATGAATAACAGTAAAATATTTGACAATTTTAAGACTCTTCCTTATTCTTCATTTATCAATGGATGATTTTAGAAACAGTCCTAATCATTTTTGCAATATTATAATACATGTACACCAAGTGCTTTAAGCATTCATGCTTATATTTTGTATCATTTAAAGAATGATCTTAGGTTTTCTTTTGGGGGCGTTGAGAGTACCAGAGATTGAACCTGGGGTACTTAACCACTGAAACAAATCCCTGGCCCTTTTTATTTTTATTTTATTTTAGTTTTTTTGTTCTAAGGATTGAACTCAGGGGCACTTAACCACTGAGGCACAACCACAGCACTTTTCTGTATTTTATTTATAGACAAAGCCTCACTGAGTTGCTTAGGGCCTCGCTACATTGCTGAGGCTAGCTTTGAACTCCTGATCCTCCTGCCTCAGCCTAACAAGCCACTGGGATTATAGGCATGTGCTAACCACTCCTGGCAGCCCTTTTCATTGTTTATTTTATTTTGAGACAAAGTCTTGCTAAATGGCTGAGGCTAGCTTTGAACTTGTGCTCCTCCTACCTCAGCCTCCTGAATTGCTGGGGTTACAGGCACACACTACCATACCAGCTTAACTTTTTATATTATTTTTATATAATACAAGTACCTGGCACATTTGTGGAAATCCTTTTTGGATCTGATCAATCCTTTTTTTGTTGTTGTGGTACCAGGGATTAAACTGAGGGGCACTTAACCACTGCACCACATCTCCAGCCCTTTTTTAAAATTTTGAGACAGGGTGTCACTAAGTTGCTTAGGGCATTGCTAATGGATCAGATCATTTTTAATAGAAATTATCAACACATGTCCCTGAGGGAGTATGTTTAAATATCTTTCATTAAGTGAAAAAATAATCAGTCAACTGAAAATATTCCTACTATTATAGATCTTTTTTTAAATACTTCTATTTTTTACTTATGAATATGCGATACTGAAAATCGAACCCAGTGCCTCACATATGCTAGGCAAGCACTCTATCATTCAGCCACAATCCCAGCCTCCACTATTATAGATCTTTATTATTCCAAAGAAAATTTTCTTCCAATTAGAAATCATAACCCCAATCCTATGACAAAAGTACAGGGATGCTGGTAGGGAGAATTAAGACCTACAGGGTTAACAAGTGTTTCCTGGCAAAAAAAAAAACCCTCAAATTGTATGATATGTGAGATTACCACCTTCCTTACTTTTTCCATTTTTCCCCCACAAGTTTCACCAGTCTCAAAATCTATGCCAAAGTCAGTAGGGAAAAAAGGTTAAAAATCCCTTCTAAAATTTTAGACCTTATACCATATGGATTCATTGTATATTATAAATTATCAGGCATGCCCTTTTAATAGTTCAGTCCACTTAAAAAGTATTACCAAATACTGCTCCAGAAAACTGATCATATTTCAAATGAGTTGGTCTGGTTTTCTTGCCATATTATGGTAATTTATAAACTTAACTATGAAGGAGTAATTCTGAGATTAAGATTAGAGAATAAATGAAATGCTTAGTTAAAAATATAAAAGGCTTCACTCAAACCAAACAACTTACCTTATTTTCCCGAGAAACAGGCAGTCGTAACAACGCATCATTGCTTACATCTCCCATAAGGAAGTTTGTAAGGCTATCCAGGGAGGTTAAAAAAAAAAAAAAAAAAAAAAGACATATCATTATGCTTCTTTTCACAGGCTTTACAATCATATCATCTAGGACAATCTGTTTTAAGGAAGAACATGATTAAAAACTCCTAGAAATCTATTCACATGAATCAGTTACTTACAAATGAATGTAGCTTCTAAATAGTTATAAAGACACCTCCAAATACTTTAATAGAACAACAAAGAGTGTGTCTTTTTCAAAGTTGTGATAACATGTTATAATAGTTAATACTTTAGTTTCTATGGATTGTACAGGCAATATATATACTGAAACACACTTAGGCCCAGTACCTTTAAAAGACAGTCCTTTACTTACACATTCCCAAAGGTAAATGCCAAAGTTTCAATGGAAGAAAACACTTCTCGGAATAGATCTTTTTTGTTTTCTTCATTAACTTCTGTAAAATTCACAGCTGTAAGGAAAGGTTTGTTACAATAAATGAGGAAGACAATATTTGAATATAGATTCATACAAAATCATTTACTCCTTTAAAAATTTACCAGTACTTCATTAAAAGATTCAGAAAGTGAAAGGGCTATACAAAACAAGAGGATATTCAGGTATTCATTCAGGAAATCATAAAAAATCAGTTGCATGAAAGTAGTTGGCATTCCAAACTCCCTAATCTATGCTTTACATAATTTGACACATATAAAAAGTTACTTAGTGGGAAATCAATCTGTCTTGGAGTCAGAGTCTGTTACACCAGACCTCTTTATCAAGAGTGTTCTGTGCTATTTTTCTTTACTGCTTTCTGGTATTTTTAAAAACAGTTAAAGACACTATGGTTCACTGAAATCATTTGGAAGCACATATTTACTATGAACCACCAATAACTGAAATTTTATATACATTTATATATTTGTATATATAAAACCTATAACAAGATATCACATTTTTTAAAAATCTAGTGCTTTAGAAAACTTAAATTTCTATTTATTTATAGTTGCTCAAAATAGGTTCTTGGGCCCTGAGATCTAGGTTAATTGACATAGAGCTGTCTTTTGTTTATAATAGAGACATTTTGCACTTTGTTAATGCAAATTATGAAACAACTAAAACAGTTTCTTCTAACTTCTATACGCACCCTTGATAAAAGCCCAAACACAATTTACTAAGACAAAATCTGAAGGTTGAATTGGCTTTTTTCCTTTAAATAAATAAACCATGTGACTCAGGCTGGTAATAAGGCAAATAGTTCCATGTATCTTACCCTCTCTAGTATCCATACCAATAAAGTGCAGGTAGAGAAACCATGTGGAAAAGAAGCCATCCTCTACTTTACCAATCGTTTTTAATCTTGGATGGGGATTCTTAAAAACAAAGTCAGCCCCATCACCAAAGACTCAGATTTGAAAAGTCTGTAGTAGCTGGGTGCAGTGGTACATGCCTGTAATCCCAGTGGCTTGAGAAGCTAAGGTGGGAAGATCCTGAGTTTAAAGCCAGCCTCAGAAACTGAGAGAAGTACTAAGGAACTTAATCAGACCCTGTCTTTAAATAAAATATAAAAAACGGCTGGGAATCTGGCTCAGTGGTTAAGCGTCCCTGGGTTCCATCCTTGGTATCCAAAACAAAAAAGGCTCGAGTAAGGCACAGATATTTTTCAAAAGCTCTCCCAGGTGACACTAATATGCAAATAGAGTTGGAAAGCAAAAACTCCTAGATTGGGATGAATTAAACCTCAAGCCTACAAATTCCCTGAAATTACAATCAGATTTGTGGAGGGTGAGGACAGTCCACACATTTCATCACATTCTTCTAAATATCCCTAATACAAACAAAAAGAAAAACTTAAGAATCATTGCAAATAATTTTTAAAATATTCTTAAGACTTCTGTTCTGGCCAAGAAACAGGTTATAATTAAGCCTGAAACAATTGAAAAAAAACCTGTATAAAATTTAAAGACAACATTTTTCAAGACACTGGATTATCAGGCAATAAAGGACAGTAATCCCTGAAAGACAAGAAACACCATGGTAAGCTTACAACTGCCCACTTTACTCTCTAATATTACAAAGTGTGGATTCACAAGCAAAGGAAATTACAGGGGGCAGGGGGAGAGACACAAATGGACACAACCTTGTTTTATAATTATGAAGGAGTCAGGTCATCAAGAGGACCTAACAATTCTATACATTTGTGTATCCAATAAACAGAGCTTCAAAATGCATGAAGCAAAAACTGATAGAGCTGCAACAAGAAATTGAGAAACTCATAGTGATAGCAGAGATTTCAATAGCCCTCCCTGCAACTGACAGAACACACAGATGGAAAATGTGTAAGGGTAGGAAGATCTGAATGATACTATCAACCACCTTGATAAGACAGACAATTATAGAGCACTCCACTTAGTGAAAGCAAACACATGTTCTTTTCAAATGAATATTTATCAACACAGGCCTTATTATGGGCCATAAAACATGTCTCACACTGAGTTTGAAAGTATTCATATCAGACAAAACACATTCAGTGACTACTTGGAATTAAATCAAGAATAAATATAGAAAATCTCTGTGAAATTTCCAAACACCTGAAAATTAAATTTCAAACTTCTAATTAACTCATGTGTCAAAGAAAAAGACGAGAAATTAGATTAAAATTTGTGAAAGAGGAGGTGGAGAATTATAAGGGGAGTAAACATTGCCATCACTATAATGATGTTTGCACAGGAATGTGCACTTGTCAGAATTTAACAATACATACATGTATTTGCTTGTATATGTGTAACATATCTCTGGAAAGATGTAAAAGAAAGCAGTAGTAGTTATTACTTATCTAGGGAAAAATATAGGTAGGCAAAGAGGCTGAGATTAAAAAAAATGTTTATTGGTGAATACACTCTCTCACAATTTGTATTTACTTGTGTAAATGAACTGCATATTAAAAGAATCAAATTTGAAAACATGAAATTCTATATTCTTGGAGGTATAATTATAGCTTATTTTTCTGACTGCCAATTTATAAATAAAGAGCAAAATACAGATCATGAAAAACCTAAGTAAAACCTCCTTCTCATTTAAATTACAAATTAAAATTGACCTAAATAAATGAAAATATGACTACTAAATACAGCATAAATTCCTGAGTTCTCAAAATGTCTTTATCTGCTTCAAAAATAGCGTGTATCTCTCTTGCCACATTGCAAATATTTTGTCAGACTGAACTTCCTGCTTGGAAACAGGAGGAGACACAGGAAATACAAATCACTACTAAAATAAATGGGGGAAAAACTAAGAAATTTTCTTCTCAACTTAAGACAAGGTAAATTTCATATGAACAATAACAAGTAAGGGGAATTAAAGATTGCAATTTCTCATTTCTTCTGCATAGAAAGTAGATGCATTTCATGCATTCAAATCCGAGGAACACAAACAACATTCTATGTTCTGTATTGTGGGGTGGGTTATTTGTTTTTGTTTGAGCAGTCTGGCAAATATGAAAAATGCATTTGATGGGTAAGAACTCCAAAAAAGTCAAGTGCTTAGGTCACTGTTGTTTTTTAAAATGTAATCAGATGATTAAGACTAAAATGATCTAAATGATCTTCATACTTCTACAACTCTTTTATTTTACCATACAAGAGTTTTTCTTAACATTTCTCTCTAAAATAAGCATAACAAAAATGTACATTTACAGATTTCTGCAAAGATTGAAGTATGCAAAGCACTCAGATTGCTTGGGACAGCAATCTATTATTTTAATGTCTATTAAAAAATGGTTTCCACCTATACCTTGACTTTCCAGCTTTTGAAAACTAGATTATCATTAAATCAAAGAATTAAATAAGCTCTGATCTCCATTTTGCAGATCACTGAATATTTTTCATTTACAATATCAATATATTTTTAGGGGGGCTTCAACATTAGGAGTAGGGACAGGGAGGAAGCTTTTTTTTAAAAACATGTAAACCTACTCCAAAGAACAGGTTTTTTTAAGTTTTCTAGTCTCACAAATTCTTGCTGAAAGAGTAAATTTCACAAGTAATCTTCCGCTTTTAAAGTTTCATCCAACGCAAAAGTAAAACAGTAACAATCCCATGTAACGACAGTCATCGTGGGAAATATTCAAAAGATTACTTTAGCTCAAAGATAAAAAGATCTCCAAGGCAATTGAGAGACAACTCTCTTTGTCTGTTTCTGGAATGTGGACACCAACCACATAGGCACTCCTTCCCCAGGACATCCTGACTGCACATAGTAACCACTGACAACAATTGAACTAGGTCGCTATTTCCAAGCATGGAAATTTTACTATCTATAGACACAAATTTCCCTAAGTAGAGTTAAATGGCACTTGTAAACAATCTATTTTAAAACAAATTTGGTTAGTAGGCACATTTTTAAAAGCCACAAGAGAAGCTACCCACTTTTCCCACTTAAAATTATCTACCACCCATACAACATCAATTCCCAAATCCACACCTTCAACTCCAAACTTCTCCATAACCCCTAATCTGTTCAACTTGTCTTGTTTTGTCAATTGACATCCATCCCCTCTAGACAACAATCAACAACTTACCACTACTACATCCCAGTTTTTGCCTTAAATCAGACCTTCAATCCTTATCTTGCCCACAATTTCTAAAAATCTCCTAATTGACCTAAATAAATACTCCCTTCACTCTCAATTCTTATATGTTGCAGCCCAGAATAATTTTAACAATTTTGAGTGGCAAGTCATTTAACTGGGAAGTCCCAATTCTTGACTGTTTAAGCACACATATGCTATGTGAGTGTTCAAACACACACACACACACACACACACACACACACACACACACACACACATATATATAGAGGATAAACTTATTCTACAATTTTCATTTTCAAATCTTAAAATAAGCCTTGTTCTCCACTTGGTTCCTTTTACAAACTGGAATTGCTACAATTGAACATTTTCTAACATCACTTGTCCTCACATAACAAAGACACATATTGTACACTAATAAACTACCTCAAAATATCATGAACTCATTCATAAAGCACAATTTTTAAACATCACTTGTTTGGTTTAAGTTAGTAGTTTTACAATGTTCACTGACAAAGTTTTCATTTTTAAGAGGAAGAAACTGTAGGTGTGACTTAGTGGAAGTATTTAAATATCCAAGTATGCATAACTCTTTATTGATACACCTCATACAAATGCCATCAGAGGAAATGGTTATACTGTCATTATGAAACAGAATGTCTCACTGGAGACTTTTTGCCCAAGCTACCCTTTTAACATATCATCCTTACCTTTCACTTTTGCAGTAAGCATTTCTGCAGCATTTTGAAGATCGACAGAATTGAGGTTCTGATGCTTATTCATTACAGACTTTAAAACATGGAGAAGCTCATCCAGACGTATATGAATGACTTCTTTAAAACAGTCTTAAAAAGGGAAAAAAAAAATTTGTTTCCAAAGAAAAGTTCTGGAAATCTAAGCTACAATAGATCACATGAAACATATTTCAAGTGAAAGGCATTAGAAAGCATTCCACAATTGTTGCCTACTACACATTCACTTCTAATTCTACTACTGCAATTATGTTATCTTTAGAAAATTCTTGGTCATTTTAATTCATTAAGGATTTCAAAGACTTTCACAATTATGGTCAATTTAGCACTACCCTTTTCAGTTTTCTCAGTCTACATATACTCTCCAGATTTTCCTTGAAACAACCATATAAGGTATTTCCTGTCTACAGTTTTTACTATCATATATTTAATATATGTGGTAACTACATTAAAAGTCCTAAAAAGTTTGATGTTTACATAACTAATGTTTAAAAATACATGTTCAGTTTCTACATTAGAGTTAATTCTTTCTATTAAGGAATTATCAGTTATTGGAAACAGAAACTCTCAGGCTATATGTAAGGACCATCATTTGACCTGCATATTAAAAAAAAACTGCAATATAAATTATATATGATCTAATGCATCGATCTTTTAATAAATTTTTTGTGCTTTTTAGAAAAATGTAATTAGTTGCTAATGATGACAAACTGGGTGAACTATTTTAAATTTTCCAGATTTCTGCCTACTCTAAAAAAAGCAAGATTGGATTAAACCAGGCCTGCCATCTTCCTCAGCAGCTGGAGCGAAGCAATGCTACCCTCTTTGATGTGCACATTTCCCAGGACCCACTAGTCTAATCCTAGCCTCCTGTGCTATACCACCCCTGCCAGAGGGATGCAGATAAGAGTTTTATAACCCCCTAAAAATAAGTGATCATATAATTTATCACCCAAACCAAAATACTTAGTAAGTAAAAAGGAGGATGCTCCTCATAATCATGCTAGCATAATAGGCATATTGTGTGGATTATCATTCCAGGCAAACCAGTATGTATTATCAACCTACCTTTAGGACTCTGGATAATCTTCAGAAGTTTGAAAAAATAACCATCTTAAACATAGTATGATTCTCCTTTCCTTGACCTTACATAGCATTAGCATTTAATAATGGTTAATATTTATTTAAATGCTCAGTTTGTGCTAGGCACACTTAAAAATGCTTAAAAGATATATTGTCCCACTTAATGTTCATGACCTTATTAGCTATCAATTCTCCATTGTACAGATGAGAGAACTGAGGGTCACCTAAGTTTACCAAACTGTGGAGCCAGAATTTAAAGTCAACATATATAATTCCAGAATATATGCTCTTAATGTTATACTGCCTTCCTACTGAAATAGTTCAGCTTAAAAACCAAAAATAATTTTTAAAATGTAGTATGATAATTAAATGTATATTTATGTTTTCAGAAATGTTGAAAGATAATCACTAAACGAATTATTCATTTTACAGAAATGTTGGAAGATACCAGAATGAAAAGCTATCTATAACATAAAAAATAAAAATATTTCAACATAATCCATAAAATATTCCATTTATTAAGAGCACTATCAAGAGTGAAAAAAAATGCGAAGAACAAGAGGAGCAATGGGTGAAGGTGCCAGGAAAACAAAATAAAGAGCTGGGCATATCAGGGCAAAGAGTATTCAGAGAGAAGCAAAAAAGAGTGGTCCACATAGTACTAGAAGCAAGAGAGAAAACAGGGCCTTCCAGGAAAAAATCTGATTCATTCATCTATCAAATTTTATTGACAGGGGAAAATTTAAAAAAAAAACAAAACATGAGATTAAGTATTAGCTTAATTAACTCTAGAAGTAAGTAGATTAAATAAGTAAGACTAAAGGCAAAGGAAATACTCTTGAGTACTGTACTCCAATTGAAATTTTTTCAATGGGAATTTGGGTTTATAACTGACACCATTATACATGTACACTAGAACTGAACAAATGAATAAATGGATAACATGGTGGGAGCCAGACATCTCATCTCACTGTTACAGTGGAATTTAGAAATAAACAGGAGGAGGAAACTATAATTTTCCAGGTTGTGATGGATTAAAGTTGGAAACTTCAGTAAGAACTGATGTTTGACTTGATATAAATAGTTACACATAGGATATTTATGGATATGTATATATGGACACGTGGATCAGCACAGACATATGTATTTCTCTGCTGTCAACCAAGAGAGTCTATAAACAAATGCCACCCCAGTAGCAACAAGCATAACTAGCACACAGGTCTTGGTTCCTGAACCATTCTCCAATAAAAGGAATCAGAACTCCTTTAAGAAATGACTAATTGTAGGACAGGGGCAGGAAATATACAAGTTGAGTCAAAAGCATCATATAGTGCCAGAAAGTAAGGAAGCAGGAGGGAACAAAGAGAAGAGAGTATGGAGAAGTATCAGGGAACAAAATCTATCAAATTATGCTATGTCCATGTACAAATATACCACAATGAATCCTGCTTATATGTATAATTATAATGTACTAATTGAAATAATAATAAGAAGAAGATTAGTAGAGTCAGCAGATCAGGAGAAGGAGGAGGGGAGGGGAAGTGAGGGTACTGGGGAATAATAGGGATCAATGATGTTATGTGCATATACAAATATGGCATAATGAATCCCCACTATTCTGCAAAGTTATAATGCATCAATAAAAAACTTTAAAAAGTGAAGAGGGTATGTCAAAGGTGTACAAAAGTCAACTGAAAAGGTTCCTTCTGTCCAAAGCTATAACAACTGGAGGAATAAATAGTACTGACTTTATACCTAAAGTATAAAAAAAATCCATACATTCATATTAATATAAATGAATGAACAGATTAGTAAACGGAGAAGAAACAAACCTCTTGTGTACAAGAATACTAAATACTTTATGTAGACACTTTGCCCTCAGAGAGGTATGCATAGTGATTTCTTCCAAAGAGTACAATATGCATGGGAGGATAAAAGCAGTAATTTCACTGTGTAGAAGTTGACAAACACCACATAAGACAGTTAATCAAGGTTAACAACAATGATAAATCATGTTGGTAGCAAGTATCCTTGAGATGATGGGATGAAAAAAACACTGTACATCTGTAATCTCTCTTCCAGTATTTCACAACCTCAGACTAATCATGAGAACATCAGAAAATTCTAACCAAAGGGCATGCAACATAGTATATAGCCAGTACTCCTTGAAACTTTCCTCACCAAAAATGAGGAAAGTCTGAGAAACTTAAGAGACAGGGAGAACTTAAGGAGACATGACCATTAAATGTACTGTAATAGGATTCTGGAAGACAAAAAAGGGCATTTGGGGAAATCTATAAAATCTGAATAAACTATGGACTTTGTTCAACAATAAGGTAGCGTTATTACTGGTTACTGTCAAATATTGGTTCATTAATTCTTACGAAGTTAAAGCAAACTGGACATAGGATTATATGGAAACTCCATATACTGTCTCAATTTTTCTGTGTATCTAAAACTGTTCTAAAAAGCAAAGTCTGTTTTAAAAATGAAATAAAAGCCAGTCAGAGATTTTAGGAATTTTATGTACAGCTGGTATTTTCTCCATAAACCTAATTTAAAAAAATAATTTATAATTTTTAATCCTTAGGACAAATATGAACATACAACTTAATGAACTATATTAATTAAATAAACAATGGTTTGATAATTGTGGGTGTTAAGTTTACTTAGTTAAGCCAATATAGCATAGTGGTTAAAAAGGATAGCCTTTGGAACCAGACTCCCTGACTTCAAATTCTACCTCCATGGCTGAGAAACTTGGGCAAGTTACTTAATCTCTCTGTGCCTACTTTCCTTGCCTATAAAGAGAAGACAAAGAGGGTCACTTCATAGAGTTGTGAGATTAAATGAGTTAAAACACATAAAGCACTTAGAACAGTTGCTGGAACATAGTAAGCCCTCTATAAATATTTGCAGTTCCTATTATCTTAAGCAACAGAAGATATAGGTTATAAAGGCTGGATTCTGAAACAGAATCCAGTAGCACTGAAATAAAACAAACTTCTGGGAAAATAATACAACTTGACAGTTGTAAGGAAAAACTGTAAAACACTCCAGACTTCCTATGTTATCCCAGTTTTGCACAAGTCTCTTCTTTATACTATGAAGCTAGTCTATGCTAATACTTCTGGATACTTACCAAAACCAAGATTGAGTGATGAGCATCACAGAGAATTGTACTACATTCTTTTTGAAACCTAATCTATGGTAGTGCAATAGTATAGATGCTAAATATTCCCCAAAGGCCCATACTGGTTCTCAGCACGGCACTATTGAAAAGTGGTGAAATCTTTAGAAGGAAGGGCCTGATCACTGGGGATATGTCCTTAAAGGAGACTTTGAGACCCCAGTCCATTCCATTTCTCTTCTCCTCTTGTTCTGTAGCTCGATTTGTTCTACCATATAAGTCTTCTTAAAAATTACTGCAAAACACTCCAATAACTGTCAGCAAAAATACCAAATTGAAATTCCATTTTTTCCTACAATCATGTGCTGCCTCTCCACAGGCCCCAAACCATGGGGGTGTTAATTGATAATGAACTGTAAACCAAAATAAATTTTTCTTTATATATATATATATATATATATATATATATATATATATATACACACACACACATATATATACATATACACATACACACATATATATATCTTATGTATTTTTATATCTTATGTAATGACCCAAAGCTGATTAATAATCTCAAAGAGAAAAAAGCTAGTCATTTCTAATATTCACAATAAAATCAACAGATATTAATATACTTGAGAAATATTCAAGAATATATTGTTGTATTTTGAAATCTCAGGGCAAAAAGAGCTTTATTTTAAATGATTGTCAACAACCACCACCAATTAGTATAGGCTATTAAGGAAGAACTACAAAATACTAATGACCTAAATGTCTACATAAACTAGGGTCATAAATTCTGGCCTTCTCAGAGTCAAGGAAATCAAATATACGGACATTCACATATTTCAAAATTATTAAATATTTTTAAATTGTC